GAGACATCAATACTCACATAAATTTTGTTGGTGGTCGAACCAATGCATTGATACCCCTTTTAAGTGACTGAGTATCCAAAGAAGATACATTTTATGGATCTGGGATCAAGTTTACTTTGAGTAAGAGCAGTGTTCCAAGCAAAGGCAGTGCATCCAAAAACCGTGAGAACTAAAGTGGAGAAGACTTGATTGGTAGGGAAGCATGATATCAAGACGGCTAAGGGGGTTCGGAACTTGTGAATTTTGGAGGGGACTCTATTTATGAGATAGGTGATAGTTAGAATGGCATCGTTCCAAAAATATTTCAAGACATTGGATTGAAACATAATGGAGTGAGCAATGTTGAGGAAGTGACGGTTTTTTCCCTCGGCTACGCTATTTTGTTAAGGAATGTCCGTGCAAGAACTATGATAGATGACTCTTTTCCTTACAAAGAATTCACTAAAAATAGAGTTGAAAAAATTACGGTCATTGTGTCCGAATGACATGAATAGAAGTTCTCAATTGAGTTAAGACAAATGTGTAGAAGTTTTAAAAGGTCACTGCTACTTCCAATTTGTCTTTAAAAATGTAGACCCACGTCATTTGAGTGTGGTCATCAATTAAGGTCAAGAATCATCGTTTATTGGTGTAGCTGGAAGTGCAAGAAGATTCTCATATGTCACTGTGAATGAGGAAGAAATGAGTGTAAGGTGTGTAAGTGTGAGATAGGTAATGAGTCGGGAGATATTTGGCTAACTGACATATCTCACAATTGAAGTTAGAGCTATTTTATTAAAAAACATCTAAGCATACAAACTTATTAGATTATAATGGCTATCTCTACGTCGTTATTACTTATTATTTGATTTTATTCCCTGATTATGTTTTTTAGGGATTCGGAGGATTCCCGAATGTTCCGGGTAGAATATTATAGCCACTCACCCACGTTATCACTTATGTTTGACCAGAATACGATTAAAGATATGTAGTTATCCTTCATGGCATTGAAGTGTGTGCTCTTTCTTTCTAGTTGTATTTGTTCTTGTTAAAGAAGTTAGAGTTAGTGTCATTATTTTCATATAATGAACTCTTTGTGAATAGTTGGTCGATGTTTCAATCATATGCTACAAGTAATTATATCACTAGTAGATGAGTTTATCAATTCTCTATCGAGTAAATTAGACAATCAGCCTTATATCAAATTAAACATAATTTTATTTATTCTTTACAAATGCATTTGAAGCAATTGAGGTAACTCACATACCCAACTATTATGAGTAAGGAATGACAGAATGGGTATAATAATAGAAAATATTTTACTACTCAAAATGTAATGGCAGCAATCTCATTTGATAGATTTTTTGTTTATGTTGCTGAAAGATGAAAGGACTTAGTGGTTGATATGAGAGTGTTATGGTAGTCAATAGAAGAGATCACATTTTGAGTCTCACAGGGATAAAATTATCTAGCTAACTCAAGTTATGCTAAAAAAAGTAAGCCATTAGCTCTATATGTGAATATCGGCATCATATTAGTGAGTACCATGACAATATGTCTCGTAAGTACTCAACAAAATAAAAATTATACAATCACTATTAAGCACAACAACGCAACATTGTCAATAGAACTTTTGGGATTTGGAAAAAGAGATTTCAAATTTTACCATATATGAAGCAATTTTTAGCGGGTATTCCGGGCGATATTGTCATCCCTTGTGTTGTCTTATATACTTTATCGGCATGTATCACAGTCATTATATATAATTTAACATGTCACAAAATAAAATACAGCATAACAATATTATATATAATTTAGCATGCACAAAATAAGATGCAGCATGACTAATAAGGCGAAGTGGCGGTACAAAATGAATACCTCAACATTCATGCGTCAAATGGATAGAGAAATTAGGCAGACGCAATGTGAAATACATTTGCAAACAACTTATAATACAATTAATCCTTTGTGCTCTTTATAATTTTTTCTCAATCAATAAATTAATGGGAGATCACTTTGATGATAGTAAATCAGACGTGAACGCCGCTCAACTTCACCATTTCATTAACATATTGTGGATTAGAAGTGGGAAACGCTAAATTATTAGAACTTGCTATCTTTATTTTTTTTCTATTATAATACATTTTTTGGGAATGTGTAATTGATGTGTTTCAAGTTCGAACTTTCTAAGTTATTTTTGAATTAGAAGTGAATTTTTTCTTAACAAGTTCTCATGTTTTAAGAGCTTAAAAACATTCTTTTCTAAATTTGCTTCAAAAATTTTGTGGACTAGACATGTTAATAGCCTTTCTGATATGGATTTCATTTGTCGGTTATGAACACGAACTTTTTCATGAAAGTGACTTTGGGATGGTGGATTTCATTTGTCGGTTATGAACACGAACTTTTTCTTGCATTAGTATTATGAAAGTGACTTTGGGATGGCTTCTTGTTTTTTTTTTTTTTTGTAGAAACTGAAAGTTTTTGTGTAAAGCTGAAGCAAATATATTTGGGGATTTTTCGAGATATGCTTCTATTGGTGTGAGCTGATATGAGAGAATTGTTGAGCTGCTTAGTTTGGGTTGTTAGTGCCACTCTTGCATTCTTTAGAGCAATGTTTGAAATTACACATTTGGGTATTGAGGCGATTTTCATGGGTGAGGTGAGATGCAAGCCTCGAGGCGGTTTAAGACGTAAGCCTCATAGTTTGAAAATTGTTTAAGTCAAAATAATAGGATAATAATAATACATCAATAACATAACTTATATTTATATTAAAGAAAGGCACTAACATTCTAGCATAATAAAAAGTGACGAATTATGTGAAATAACAAATTGCATAAGCTACAAATATTATGTAATAAGTTGCACAAAAAAAAAATAATATAAACATCAACCGATCAAATCATCAAACTAATATAAAACAAGATATGAAAGTAATATGAAATATCAAAGACATCAGATGAGTTTAGCATATTAGAATTTCCTCAACTCATATTGTCTAACATGATAACATTCATAAATTTACATAATAACATTCATAAATTTACATAAGAGCAAAATAAATAATCAAAAGCAGGAACAGTAGGCGACAATGGCGATAGCAGGAGAAGCATGCTGCGAGGGCAACAGAAGTTGTTGGCAGCGGTGGCAACAACAACGACAATAGGAGTAGCTTGCAACTATAGCAAAAGTGAGAGGTGGAGGCGGCAGCAACAAGAAGCAAGCAATGATGCTAATAAGCTTGATTGGGGAGAGGGTAGCTCTTAGGCATGAGAGTATGGCTTCAATTTGTATTTGAACCATCCAATATATGGGAAAAATAACTAAAAGTGAGAGACGTGGGCCTTAGCAAAATTTAGGTGAGACTCCAATATATGGGAAAAATAACTAAAAGTGAGAGACACGGGCCTTAGCAAAATTGAGACACGCTTTTAGGCATGCCTCAACTAATGTAAGGAGTACGCCTCACTCGAATTGGTCGAAGCATATGCCTCAAAGCATTTTTCTTTTGAATTGCGCTGAGGTGGGCCTTAAGACGCGCCTCAGATTGCGAAATTTTAAACAGTACTTTCGAGTAGGCGATTTAAGCATTATTACAGTAAGTTTCATATAGTAAAACTTGACCTAAAGAGAATGGAAATTGAATGTGTCACCAAAGTATTTTAGCTTGTTCCACTGCTATTTAAAGAGAAAAATGTAGGTGGGTACTTTATGCTAACTTGGAAACGCCTCCCAGTCCCTGATGTGCATTGACATCATACATGTTATATAGCTTGAAAAGATTAAGTTGTCACTAATATTTATATTTTTTTGTCCCCTTTTCATATCAATCATTCATCTTCCTCAAATATCTCTTACCATTGTTTTGTGTGAAATTGAAAATTTTCAGCGATATTGAAAGCAGATTTCACCTGATCATTACAAGATGGCAGCTTGTTTCTTGTTTGTGTGATGGTAAAATCCTTCATAGATGGGATAATTACGATGTATTGACACTCTAATGCTAAAGTTCGTACAAAACTCTTGTCAAATTATGATTATAATTGAATGGTTTTGGTTGATGAGACTACTTGAAATTGGTCATTGTGCATGCCCCATTATTTCTTTGATTGCTGGTTTTCTCCTTTCTATATTAGCAGTAAACCCGGAATGAGCTGCCATTTATATGATAATTTTTACACTGGAAATGTAAGAAATAACATATCCATCAGATTGATATTTAAGAGTCATAGACAAACTGCCAAGTGATATTTTTCAAGTACTTCCCATTACACAACGATTTCATTTGAATTCAAATCTCTTATTTTTAGACGCTCAAACTGTCTGCTCCTCTTGCAATCATGCTGTCTGGGCAGCCAAGCTTCTAAAGTTGCAACTTACCAATCTAAAGGAAATGTTGCACTTTCAGTTCTCATGACAACGTAAGTATTTATTATAGTTCATGATACCGTCATTAGTTGGCTTGGTAGCTACACATTTCTCAGTTTTTTCACTTGTTAGTTAAATATCATTTATAATACAACATTTTTGCAGTTATTGGTATTCCCTTATTTTTCGTGTAAGAAAACCAATCAAAACTTCTACCATTATTGCTACTTTTCTTTTTTTTCTTTTTTTTTTATATTCTAATCCATAATTTTTTTACTTTCTTGGAATTTGTAATTGATGTGTTTCCAGTATGATCTTTCTGAGTTATTTTTGGATTATAAATGGCGAAGTTTTTTTTTACATGTTGTACGAGTTTTAAGAGTTTAAGGACATACTGATTCTGATTCAAATTTTTAATTGAATTTATAGTAGCATACTAAAATTCTCAAAGAAGTTATCAAAAAGTGTGGATTTGATTGGATTTATTCAAACTCATGCCAAATGATTTCTGGGATTTAGCTATTCCAGGATTTACTAAATCTGGATTTGCCAGATTTACTAAATCCACTTAAATTAAAGCCCATAAGTTTCCAAACAGCCCCCAAGTTTCCACATCAAACAGAATCATAAAATAAATTATTACTCCTTACAATGTAAGAGAGAGCGTCTGGGTCGATCTCATCATCCCGTCCAAAGCAAGCCTTCTCTTCCGCGAGTTCCTTCTTCTCCATACCCCCTCCTCTTCTCCCTCCTCCTTCGCTTCCGTTCACAACAAAACCTAAATTCTTCCCATCCTCATCCAAACTCCTTATGGCGGGCATTCACTCAACCGAAGCCCCAACAAAATGCAAACTCTCCCAAATTTCTCTCCACGACGAAAACGGACCTAGACAACGCTAGAATTCCCCGATTAGCTATCCCAGCTGCGGATCCGCAGGACTCCGGATCGTCGCCGATCTTCTTCCTCTCACCTTCCTACAAGGAGGAGAAATTTTCAGTTTGATGGAGCAGGGCTGCGGCTGAGTACAAACAAAACACTAATAATCCAATGATTTTTCTTGCTGTCACTAATGGCATTAAATAAGGAGTCCGGTTAATCAAATAGAACTAGTCCTGGGGAACAAAATATTTGATGTAATATAAATTTATTATAATATTTTAATTAAATATACTTTATTTAATAAATCAATTAATACCAAAAGTTTATATTTTTTTTAATTTCACTCCTTCATTCTTTTCAAAGAGATTGCTATGTCATGCATGGTTAAAAATTCACATTTGCTATGCATATTAATGATATCAATACAATGCCATAATTTACATCAATGCAAATAAGAGACTTTAATGTAAAGCTTTTTAATTTTAGTGAATTATAGTACTCCTTGGAAATTAATTAATGTGATGGATATATGTATATTGGATTTCCACATGTTGCTCTCTAATTTTAGGGATATGTAATAACTCATTACATTTATAATTATTATGATAAATTTATTGTAATTATTAAAATAGAATTTCTAAAGATACAGTGTAACTTCTACATTATGGAAGGTAATCAAAATAATTTCCAAATCTTCTCGCGATTTTTTTTTCTTTATGTCATATTGTGAAAGCAACTGGTGGTTAGCACCCCCTCCCAGCTTCATCAACTCCTTGTTCGCAGTCACCATAAATCAAGTGAACGCAATTCTCAATTCTCATGGATCGAACTACACAATCATTTTCACCAACGACACCACTTAAACACTAATGCAGCTCGCTTCTATAAACTACACTTATTGGAAAATTTAATTACATACTTTTTTAGTGGGTTTTGATCTCATTTATTTTCATCAAAGAATCCTAACAAGAAACTTTGTCTTCACATAAAGAAACATACCAAATGTCTCTTGTACTCGTGGGATTCAACAAGGTCACCTCATTCTCAACATCATCGTCGAATCTCTCAATACTAACTTCATATTTATCAAATTGTTGACTTCACTTTTGGTCAACCCAATCCAATATGACCCAGTCTAATGGTTAAATCCCTTCCTTGCAATCCCAAGTGAGCTCTAATTGGACTCTAGCTTGTCTGGTGTAGTTGGGAGTTCAACGGTAAGTTCACTTTGGAACATGGGGAACCCAAGTTCAAGTTGGGTTTGGTTTGTTTAGAGGCATGGTAGGCTTGTAGTGTTGGTCTGGTTCAAACTAAACTAAAATTAACTTAAAATGAGAACTAATCTAACCAAAACTAAACTAAATTAAATTTAAAACAAACTTAAGCTAATGTGAACCAAATAAAAATTAAATATAAAATCAACTTAATGAAACTTAAGCATAACAAATCCTAATCAAATCTAATTTGAACTTAAGGATAAACCTATCTTAATTATACATGAATGTAACTCAAGCTACATTTACCTTAAATCTAACACTATTTTTTCATGAGCTAATTCAAACTTAAACAAGAAATTTGAACTTAAGGATAAACCTATCTTAATTATACGTGAATGTAACTCAAGTTACATTTACCTTAAATCTAACACTATGTTTTCATGAGCTAATTCAAACTTAAACAAGCTTTGATCAAATTTAAAGTCAATTTAAACCTAAAATATTAACATCAAGCCTAATGGAAACCTAAAAAGATTTATAAATTACAATTAACTGAAACTAAGCCAAAACAAGTTCAATCATAGTAAACCTAATTAAATCTAACTAAAGTTGAGCCACGTCTAATCTAACCTAACATAAAATCAACAAAACTCTATCAAATATAACTTACCTAAGCTCATGTAAACCTCAAATCTAATGAGTTTGAAATGTAACTCATCCTAAAATAACAAAATGAAACTTAACTTGAACTAGAATGAAGCTAAATTTCATTTAATATTAAGTTGAACTTGAATTCAAGTTGAATTAACCAAGATTTGAAACAAACTCAAACTACTTTTCATCCAACTTAACTTGATAGTTTAGTCCTAATTTAACCTAAATTTAACTTAATTAAACAAAAGGAAAACCTAATATTAATATGAACTAAAACTTAACATAAACACGGTTCAATTTAAATTTATACTTGAGCTGGCTAAACACAAACCCCAAGTGAATCCAAAAGTTACCCTGCTAGCTGATTTAGATGTAAAGGCTCACCCAACAATAATTGGCCTGCTTAGGCGCTAATTGTTCGTGTCTATAAACTACCTACACCAAGCTTGATACTTTTATTCACTCATATGCACTCAACTTAACCCAAATGGCCAACTCAAGAAGCACCTAGTTCCCAAATGGCTAACCTTGTCAAATCCCAGCCAAATTGTCTTAGCCATGTCATAATTTATGATCTCAAAAGTCCCTGGATAGATATAGCTCATGCGAGTTAACTAAATCGAGCGCACCCACAGGTTCACCTAAGAGCCAACCCAAACATTGATTGGTCCACCTGTCCAAAGCCTGATGGATTGCCCAAATTAGCGTCATCAAGATCTCTACTAGGCCCTTAGTCTCCCCCTGACTCCCTCTAGCTTGGTTGAGTTGCACTTAAAGCCTGAGCTACCCCTTGACTAAGTTGAAAGGGCTTCACCTCAATTGAAAACTCTTTGCATCAACCCACGTCTTCAGTGCTCTCCTAGGCTCCCAGGTCTTAGTTGTCGCATTGATTCCATCTATGTTGTCTATATTATCTCTATAGAGAGTAAAACAATCTTCCCTCAACTCCGTCATTGCTGTCATGATCGAAAAGTGAGAAAATTGAATTTTCTCTTAAGTGTCATCCCAATTGGAATTTATTCATTAAATTCACTCCCTAGTTTCAGAAGAACTCTTAAAGAGCATCCACCTTCTTCACAAGGCCCTTATGGACCCTAACCACCAATTTTAATGAGTTCACAAGACATCAAACATCCAACCATCCCCAGCTTATGATACCTGAAGGATAAGTGTTCATGAGATCCTTACAAAACTCTGTGCCACGAGAATCATCTTAATCTAAAACCTATCTAAATGAATTACTCAAATCATACATCTTTTCCTTCAATTTTGAAAATTAGAGAAGTTAATTAGGTTTAAGGACCAAAATTAGTAGGCTAAAACCTGACCTTGTGTCTTCTGATCATTTTGCACATAAGCGATCAAAGGTTTGCCCATGTGAAAGACATTTCATGGCTGAAGTTATGGAATGAAATCATTGGCATTTATTCTCAATGTTTGGAGTGGACGTTGGTGATCAATCCATACTACATAATTGACCTTTATAGGCCTCACGTTAGAATGGACGTATGAAAAGCACAGGGTCATCTAAGAAATTAGGAATATTGAATAATAAACCCTTTTAAATTAAAAAGAAACTCAAAAAATTAATAATTAGTTAAAGAGAAATCCAAAATTTATGAAAAAATCACCAAAATGTTCACAAGAGCGAGCTCAACCTAAGAAAAATAAGTGTCAATTTTTATTGGAAAATTTTAATTAATTTGAAAATTTATAAAATGTAAATAATATAAATTAAACCCTAATTATTTAATTAATCAATCTCAAATTTTTCAAGATAATTTCCTATGTCATAATTAACCTCTGAAAATTTTTCCAAATTTTTTGGACGTCTAGGTTAGGGGTTTCTTTAATTTAGCTTTTATTCAAAATAAATAAATAAATAAATAAATAAATATATATATATATATATGATATAAAATATGGAAATTCATAAAATCTTGTAAAAAATTATAAGGCTTAATTGATCCAAGGCATATTAAGGTTTACTTATGATTTAGATTCAAACCTTATTAAAAATTATTTTTAAATCATTTTGCTTATAACACTCTTATCCTCAACAATTAAGTAGATAACAAATAACATGTTCAATAATTAAAATTTTGATAATCAAGCAAGCGTAGAAGTTTTAGTAATAACACCATGTGTCTCAAACCTTTTCTAGGATCTTGTTTCACGATAAAAATGGAGCATCATATCGACTTGTTGATCTTTGTGATTCTGTTGATAGGCTGCCTATATGGATAAAACCTAAAAAAGTATTAATTATAATAGAGAAATAATACAAATGAATATAACTTGAAATACTTATGAATATCCATTCGACTCTTTGTGAAGGAGTTTGGAGCCAGTGTCCACCATAGTGGGACAAATAGGAGAGGAGGGGACTACCTCAAAGGAAGCTTGAGGTAGTAGTGTGCTACGACGTGCATGGGTGAGAAAGGTCTATGTAATTTGAGGTGGGGTTGCTGGCTTGATAGGTATCGATGTGGTGATCAAAGTGATGGTCATCATAGTTGTGTTTAATTGTAGGGTGGAGCACAAAACTGTCTGATTCTTACTCTAGAAGAACTTAGAGACAACTGATCTCTGAGAAACATCACGTCGTCGTCACCGCCTAATGCCATATGTAACAAGAAATAGGAAATATTATAAATAGAAAAAAATAATATTTTTAATTAAGAGAAAAAATGGAAATAAAGCCAATATAAAACTAAAAGTAAATGTAATGCAAGTATAAACAGGTAAATTTAAGAAACATTAGGACAAAAAATGAAAATAACGAAACCTAAAACTATACAAAGTTAAGTAGAAAGAAATTAAACAACTAAATCTACACACCATCTTATTCTTTTCATCACAGAAGTCATGAGTATATGATAAATTTAAAATTTTCTCATATATATCATCATCAGACTCATCTATAATGTGACTAACTTCCTTAAAAGCTCTAGCAACATCCTCTAAGGTAATTCCTTGCTCAATAGAATCAATAGGAATATAAAAAAATAATATTTTTTGATCTTAATGCACTTCAACAATACTTTGTGTCTCAATTGTCGCTCTAAGTTTAGTCTTGATAACCTCTACCCATTCAAGTTTCTCTTGCTATCGAGATATCTAAGTTAATATACTTTACTTATTTGACATACTAGAATGAATGGATAAAACTTCATATATCTTCTATTCATTTTAACTTCATTGATATCATATGGGTTTATTATTTTTATTTCTCGATTAAGAACATGGTCACAACACTCATAATTGAATAAAAAATACATTATGCTCAATATTACTCAAA